TATGCTGATATGTTTTCTTCTACTGTTCTCATTTAATTTTGGCTGGGAATCTTTTCTGTCTCTCTTTTAATATATTCATCTTCTGCTTCTCTGTGTACATTGAGTATAATTCTTCATTGTGCTGAATGCCTTTATCAGCGTGTTCAGCACCCTCAACTTCCTCATTCAGTAAAGTTGATGGAACCTGGCTCCTTGAGAAGTCAGGCACAGATATAATATACATAATGATAACTGGAAATGGGAGGCAAATAAATCTGGTTTGTTGCATATTTAAAAGGAAACTGTCAAGTTGAAAACTATATTTCTCCCTGAAACGTTGGACCTGCTCTAATTACAGACTATATAAAAGATGACTAACTGAAAAAAGCTTGTGAAAAGCAGAGAGAAAAAATCTTTCGGTTTGTTCAGTTTGTGTATCTGCTGGCACTTTGTCTGTAGTCAGTTTCATGGCTCTTCTGTTGGATTAGTAAGACCTGATCCTGTATTTGGATCCACTTGAGCAGACAGTTGCACTTGTGAAACCCATTGTAGGGTCAGCACCTAGGTCAGTTGACTTTTCAATTTGTCCTTGGCTAAAAAGATGTCTTTATGCATGACAGCAGCAAAACTCATCCTCATCCTCTAAAATATTTTTTTAGGTGAATAAATAAGGGAAGTCAGGATGCCTGGATGTACTATTTAAGTGGTGCTATAGATAAACATTTTTAAAGAGTTTTTATTTGAAATCTAATCCGATTTGCCAAGATAACCTCACATGCAGCTTTTTTTATGAACAGGATAAGTTTGATGGCCAATTATACATTATGAATTGAGAGGTAATAAGTAAAAAAGCTAAACAGCACCTTCCTTAACTGGGAAGAGTTGGTTCTATATTTTTAAGATCATAATATATATTTTCATGCAATAATGCATAGATTGAATCAAATTATGTCATCAGGATTAGAAATAGCAGGCATTAAGTCTGCTACATGACCTATGAACATGCCAGCATGAATGAAAAGAAACCAACATATACCTGGAAAAATCAACATATTGAAAACTCACTATCCTTCAACTTGTTTTGACCTCCCGTTTTGGATTAATGCAGGATTTTTTTATATATATATTTTTTTTTGTATTACACAAATCAGTGCCATCTTCTTCAATCAGGCCTTTGACACTGTCTTCCACCCCATCCTCATTAAAAAACTAGGTGACTGTGGCATTGATGCCTACACGGTCAGATGGATTGCTAATTGGCTGAAGGGTCGTACTCAGAGCGTGGTGGTGGACGGGTCATATTCGACCTGGGGGGAAGTGGGCAGCGGAGTCCCCCAGGGCTCGGTCCTTGGGGCCCGCACTGTTCAACTTCTTTATCAGTGATTTGGACGATGGGGTAAAAAGCAATCTGTTCATATTTGCTGATGATACCAAAATTTGGGGTGAGGTGGGCACGCTAGTAGGGAGGGAAAGACTGCAGAAAGACCTGGATAGGTTGCAAGGGTGGGATAACAAAAACAGGATGCGTTTCAATATGGACAAGTGCAGGGTGCTGCACTTGGGCAGTAGTAATCAGCAACACACTTATAAGATGGGAAACTCCCTTCTTGAGAGCACGGAGGCAGAAAAGGATCTTGGAGTCATTATTAACTCCAAGATGAACCTGAGCCGACAATGCGAGGTCACAGTTGGCAGGCCTAACTGGACCCTATCGTGCATTCACAGGAGCATCTCAAGTAGGGCCAAGGAGGTGATCCTCCCCCTCTATGCGACACTGGTCAGGCCACAGCTGGAGTACTGTGTCCAGTTCTGGGCACCCCACTTCAAGAGGGATGTGGACAACATTGAGAGGGTCCAGAGGAGGGCCACCCGCATGATTCGGGGACAGCAGGGCAGACCCTACAATGAGAGGCTACGGGACCTGAACCTGTTCAGCCTTCACAAGAGAAGGCTGAGGGGGGAACTGGTGACCCTCTATAAACTCACTAGGGGGGACCAGAATCCAAGGGAAGTGGTGCTGGCTCCTACCCTGGGGGTCTTTAAGAAGCAGCTCGATGCCTACCTGGTTGGGGTCACTTGAGCCCAGTTTTCCTCCTGCCCAGGCAGGGGGTCGGGTTAGAAGATCTACAAGGTTCCTTCCGACCCTTCTTCTATGATTCTATGAATTGTGTTTGCTTTCAGTGGCTGCATCTACACATACAAATGCTGCTGGATGGGTTTACTCCACAGTAATTTAGGTTTACTCTGCAGTAATTTACTGCAGAGTAAACCCACTTTGGGCAGATGTCTACATGAGTGGGCATTTGGAAGCAGCCTGGAGAAGGCTGCTCCCACCCTGCTCTACCCCCCTGAAACAGCCAGGGTGAGCTCTATGCTCCCCCTGGCTGCCAGCTCAGGGGCTAGCAGGGAGCATGGGGCTAGGAGACAGCTGTCTCCTGTTGGGGGTTGGGAGACTGCTCTCTGCCCCTGGAAGGTGCCTACTGCTGGGGCAGGCTCCAGTGGTAGAGCCCAGACAGAGATAATGTCCCTGTGCCCCAGCAGCAGGGAGCTCCTAGCCCCAGCTTCCTGATTGGGGACAGGGACTTGGAAAGAGCTGCAGGGGAGGGGCAGGTCCCTGCCCTCTGTCCTGATCCACTGGTGGGGCAGGGAGTTGAGTCCTCCCCCTGCTCTGCTGCTCTTTCCAAGGTCTGTGCTTTGATTGATCAGGTAATGGGAAAGACCTGTGGGTGGGACCTGTCCCAGACCAGGACAGTTCCCGACCAGCCCTAAGCTGCATGGGGAAGACTGCATGTGCAGCCTGGGGCTGGCTAGGAACAGTCCCATTTTGTGGAATTCCCAGCCAGCTCCGGACAGCATGTGCAGACTTCCCTGCGCAGCCCAGAGCTGGCCGGTAACTGTCCCAGTCTGGAGCAGTTCCCAGCCAGCTCCAGGCTGAGCAAGGAACTCTCACCATGCAGGGAGCTCTTGGCCCCAGCTCTGGCAGCAAGGAGCTGTATCCAAGGTATTCATAAATTACACAGCATCTTTGTGCATAGGAAAAATGGCTGAAGATCTAAAATCCATGGCTTATTAAAGAGAACTTTTATTTGCAACTTGTACAGATGGAAAAAAAAAGATTTGTAGTAAACAGTTAAAAAGTGTTCTTTCATTCTCCTGGGACATACAAATGATAATACTCTTATCAGTATTCCCCATTTATGCAATTGTAATATCCTACCAATGTGTAAAAATGCACAAGGTGTTTTAATTATGACTACAGTAGCTAAATCTCTATGCAATTATCATCATCAAAATGATGCAAACCACTGAGTAACTGTGAGCTTTTCTGACCTACAAAGGAAGTGTGGGTAGGGAGACAAGAAAAACAAGCATAGGACTGAAGTATACTTTCTGTATGTAATTCTACTCAATTCACTGACCATATTTTCTCCATTGAAGAAAATTTACCTGTCCTATCCTAACTATTACATATCCCCATGCTTTTCCATCATCCCTGTGTCATCTGAAAGATGGTAAATGCATCTAGTGTGATCCATATATTAGCATATTGCTGTCATGTAAGGGAAGAGCATATTGCTGTCATGTAAGGAAAGATAATTATATAATTTTTAAAAATGATCTTAACACTAGACAATGCTACCTTCTTTGGCTTCCATACCACAAACATTTATGCATGTGATTAACTTGAATTCACTGCAACTACACATCCAAGTAAAGTGACCACATGCATAAATGCAGAGCCTGGGTCATATTAATTAAAGCCACCTTATTTTCTTGGGCATGTGTAGATGAAACAAGGGCCCTAAATTAAAGCGGTGGGTTTTAAAAATCACCGCTTCAATTTAGGGCTGATTAAATCCCTGTGTCGTGCACACACCCTACTGGCTTCCTTCCCCACCAGAGAGGCAGGTCAGGGCAAGCTGCCAGTAGGTGGAGTGGTCCCTGGGCTGCAAGGGGGGGCTGGTGCATCCCTCTGCAGCAGCTGCAGCGCCCCCCAGGTGCACCTACCTGCAGGCACCCAGCTCAGGTGGTCCCAGGGTGGGCACCAAAGCTGTGGAGGGAAGCACCGGGCCCCTGCGCAGCTCAGGCAGGCAGGCAGGTTCCAGGGGAGGGAAAAAAAATTCAGGCTCGCTGCTTTCCTGGAATGCTGTCAGTCAGCCTTCAGGGTTTCCTGCAGAGCCATGGAGCTGCACAGAGCCCGGTGCTTCACTCCATGACTGTACAGGCAGCAAACTAACACTCCTTGAAGGATTTTTAGTTTGCTGCACCTCAAGTCATTTATGGTGCATTATGGCACCGAACTTCCTAGAGCGGCCAAAATTTATGCACAATACACCACTGAGGTGTGCAAACACTGACACCATTAAAGCGGTGCAAAAGCATTTAGCCCACTTTAAAGTGTCGTGCAAACATGCCTCTCATTTCGTCTGCACACGGCCTTGAATACCACATGCCCCCAAATAAAAAACACACTTTGTTTTTGACAGCACAGTGTAGCAAAAAGGATTTTCCAGAGTCATGGCCAATTGTTGCACATAGAGTAAGTCCTTCTGGAAAAATAGGCTGCATCCAGACGAGTGCAGCTGTGCGGTATGTGGCGCCACAGACATGTCTGCGACATCATAGACCGCACGCTCAGTTCTCCGCACTGCAAGGGAGCAATACAGAGGGTTTCCTTGACTCCTGGATATCCCACAGGGTAAAAACTCACAGGAAAAAAGGTGGAGTGGCCCACATGGTGGCAGCATTCAACACCCTAAGCCAGAGCCTGGGTGGCTGGAGCTACACTCCGCTGCCAGCCAGGCTCTGCATGGCGGGGTCACTGCTTTTGCAGCCCCAAGAGGCCCCCAGAACCCCAGGTAAGGCTGCTGGGGCCAGCCCAGTGCTGTCCTCAGCCTCCCTTACCCCACCTGGGTTAACTTGCTGCACACCAAAGCACACGTGGCACGGGTGTTCCCCAGGGCAACTAGTGGTAACACAAGGTGTGCCACTTCTAGTTGTCTCCACAGAACCAAACGTCCATGCACATTACCATAGGGTCCAGGAAGTGTGGCAACTCAGGAGACAGTGTGCATGAAGCAGCAGGAACTTTCTAGTATGACAGGACACTAACAAAGGTAGGCTCCACACCCTTACAAGGGCAGCAGTAAGACCCTTGCTTCTTTATTGTATATACTAATTTATATAAATTCCTGTAAGTAAGTGTTGTTTCCACACCACAAGCCTCATCAAGATATTACAGATTACATGTGGTATCTCACTTACCTTCAGCTAGCTCATTGGCTCTTCAGCCAGTAGCTACTGCCTTACCAGTCAGTGGCTGTGAGAGAATTAACACTGGACTCCACCTCGGCTGTTTATAGCCTCTGGGAGAAACAGCCATCTCAGTAGCCATGAGTCACAGTGTCTGTTTCCGCTATTGCACCCTGCTTCTATTCCAGTGAAGAAAAATCAGCACCCCAATTTTCAAGGGCTGATTTGGGGGAGAAATGTGTGTGGTATTTGAGAAAATACAGTTGATCTTTGAGGAGGTGATATATAACTCTTCATTTCCAAGAGAAATCTTGGGCTGTTTCCTAATTTTAATACTGCCCAAAATAACTCTAAAAAATCAACACGCCTTTATCTTTAAATCATAGTTTAAACATGTTATTGTTTGGTATTGTTGGATGAGTTTCATCATGGTGAGTGGGTTTACATCTGAATAATAGTTTTGTACTGATTTTTCTCAAATGTTATTTTTAAAAGTTTACCCAAGACCTTTCTAATTTGTTATTTATTTATTTACAGTTCTACGGAAGAGCAGTTTCATTGGCAAACACAAGGTAAAGTACTTGTTTGGATCATATCCTTATATTTACTCTCTCACTAAGGACTGTGTTCTCTAGACAGAGTGAGAAAAATTATGGAGAAGGGTAGGGGGTATGCACTAATTGTCATTAATATTCTTTAGTCATTAACAGCGTTCAATATCCCTCTAGAGAAGTGGCAATAATTGATACTCACTCATGCTTAAGAGACTGTAGCATATAGTCTAGTCATTGTAAACAGCGTGAAGACCCACCTCACCCCATCCCACCCCATAATTTCTTACAGATTGAACAGAAGCATTCTCCGTTTGCTTATAAACACCAATGGTCATATTTTAAAAGTAGAATGACTACATGTACATCTTTCTAGGCCATATAATCCAGCCTCCTTTGAAAAGCTGACCCTATATATAAGTGGTGCTCCGCCTTCCTGCCCATGGACCAGAGGAGTGGCATGGGGTTGGTCCATGGGCCAGATCTTGTGGGCACAGTTGAACCATTGGCTAGATCCTGTATGGACTCAGTGGGCTGGGTGGATCCGCATGTCTGATCCAATGCATGGCGTGGCCAGCTGTGGACTTAACCCTGCACACCAGATCCAGCCACAGATAGATGAGGCATGCCTATGCAATTCAACACACAGGGCCATGCCATCTAGCCTGCAGAGCTCCCCAAAGGTTTGGAAATTTGGCAGTTGGGAAGTCGTAGCAGTCTTAATTGCCCCAGCTATAGAAGCTGGGGCAATTAAGACTGCCACTGCTCCCCCACAACAAAATTTCTGGACCCTTAGGGAATTCTGCAAACTGGAATATACAGACCAGAGGTTGAATACCCCTGCTATAATTTATACAGTTCTTTGATTAGTTTTGAATGTAAATAGTTCCAATTTTATACAGATTTTTATTATAATTATTTTGTTTTCCCTTTGAATTCCTTAAACAAATTTCATGGTTTGTTTGGTTCATTTTTTAAATTGCAGATGGTCAGAAGGACATTGAAGATGAGCTCACAACTGGTCTTGAGCTGGTGGACTCCTGTATTAGATCACTGCAAGAATCAGGAATACTTGATCCACAGGACTATTCAGCTAGTGAAAGTAAGCTTCCAAGACCTTACATTTATTTTCCTGATGCACTCGAATCCATTATGACTAGTGAGAATAGTTTTGTTTTTTAATATAGAAGGCATTGTTTCATGTTTTTCTCATTTCATCTGTTAACTTTGGCAGCAGGTAGTATAAGCGAAATTATCTGTAACTGTGTGCATGATCTATTTACCTATATGGATTATGTCTGTGAAAAGCTTGATATCTTTTCAGAAGTTATGGACAAAAAGCATTTATGCTAGGATTTATGCAGAGCCAAAATAAAATGCTATTTTTCTGTTTGGTCCCATCACCATTTTTGATGCCACATTTTTACCACCTAGTTGTGAGGTACAAGGCTAAAACTTTCAAAGGTTTGTGTAGGTTGGAACAACTCTGTGGATGGCCACCAGGATGAACAGTGAGAAGATAATGAAAATCCTGGAAAATTCTAAAGATGATGGCAGGGCATATCAAAGACACCAAAGCTCCAGAAGAACCAGATATTCTCAAACTGGTTGGTCAGGCATGACTAAGGGTTGATATCGGATAAAGGTGTTCATGGAACAACCTTCCATTAGCTACTGCAGGATTCTTATTCTCAAAGACACAGTCACACATACCTGAGAGGCAGACTAGCAAGGTTTTCCAGGAAGCTGGTGGAAATATCAATAGAGATACTGCTGTGGTTAGGAAAAGATAAGTTGATCTCTTTATTTCTTGCTTTCTCATTTTCCTAGCCAAAAAGTTCTTTACTTTCAGCACATTTCCTCATTTTCTTCTCTCTGCTCCTGGTGTTCTGTTGGTTCTTCAGTTATGTACATATCCTCATGTCTCTGATGTCCCCTACAATCTCACTGCTAACAGCTCCATCTCAGCCACCAACGATTAGTGTAAGCATGATGACAGGTCTGCTGCACTCATCTTTCTGTTGCTACCTGTTATTTTCATACAAGCCATTTTCTGGATGCGCTTGTTCACTCTAAGATAAGGTGGCTTTCCAGGAAGGGGGCAGAGAGAAAATGGCATTCCCATGAAAGCCCTTTAAGATTAGACTTTGGTCCCACTTCTGAGCTAAAGTTGTCCTTAATTGTCAACCACAAAGACCTTCTGCAAGACATATTCATTTGTCCAAACTCAGAGAAAATGGGCAGGACTATAGGGATTTCTTAGCAGCTGTTTTATGATTTCTGTTAGCAGTTGATGAAGGAGGCACATCCATGATGTAGTTTGTGCATATATATTTAAAATGTATCACAGTGCTCCTATGGCAGAGAGAGAGTCCTGTTTATGGATAGTGTGTATAGCAATTAACAATGAATAAATATGTAAATTATCAGAGGAGCTGATGGCACTATTATAAATTTTAATGAGAAGTTCACACCTCCCATTAAAAGATTCTGTTTTTAGTTGGCAAAAGTTAAAACTTTGCAAAATTATAACTGTTAGAACTGAAATATCCTTTGCATAGATTTTTGATTGGAAAATTTTAGCCAAATCCTATAATTGGGGTTAGGAAAAGCTAGGTAACTTGCCTACATTAAAATTCTAACATTTTCTTTGATGAGATTTCTGATGTTTTCATTTTTTGAAGCAGGGACTTGAAATTTGGCAGATTGTGTCTGAGATGGGTACTTTGTTATCCAATGAAAATCTATCCAATTTTTACAAAATTAGACGACTTCAAAAAGTCACAGTTTGAACACGCTTAGTAAAGACTTGTGCGGCTAATTTCCCTAGAGCTTGGGTTACACACCACAATGGATGTCTTCCACCCCAGGATTAAACAGGCCTCTTCTTGAAATTGCTCCTCAGGACTGTTGCATGCAACAGTGGGTCAAGGTTTAGGTCCAGGCACCCAAACTGAAAACAGAAAAATTGTCTCCCCTGTACTATCAATAACCCCAGGGCTGTACCCTCCACAGGATGAAGGTGAGAACTGTGTCGACTAATATAAAAGGGATGAGACCTGGAGGACTGGAAGCTGTCAATGGGGAAGGAAGTGGGTAGGAAAAATTTGGGAAGGGCTGGAAGACAAGTGAGACTGGGATTGGATGAAGACCTGGCTGGACCCTGGAACTGAGAACTTTGTGGTTGGTGAGGAGAAGGTGAAAGAATACGGAGATGTAATGAGGAAGCTGTGTTTGAGGTGAAAACTGACACTAATTGGAGAAAGAGACTAGGACACAGAGCTTGGTGGCCCAAGATACTGCTATTGGATGAAGACCCTTAAAAGTTAGATTGGGACTAAAAGACAGTGGGTTAGGGGAACATGAGTTTATTGGGCCAGTTGACTGTTTGACAGACTGCAGTTTTGTTGTACAATGTTTGGTTTAATCATAATTTAGTTTTGATGATATTGTATACCTTAGTTTCCCTGACTAGCTTGTACATGGGGAAAGAAGGGGTTAGTTGTGTGTGGAACCAGAACTGAGAGTCTCTTCCCATGAAAGTAGTTGTTTTCTCTAGGCTCATAGAGAAACTATAGATGGCAACAAGGGCAAGTGGGGGCAGAGTCAATTGATCCTTGAAAATGTTATTGTAAAGCCAGGCAGTGCTACGCTGAGTTACACTGCATGTGTACTACCTCCCAAATAGAGAACACTAGACCTGTCTTATCATGGTGCTTCAGGTGGGCTGATTGGCACAGCCAGAGACGACCTGAGCAGGGTGTGGGGCCTGGGGCGAATCAGCCTGTGCGGGGCCCAGGCCCCGGGTGTGAGGAAGCCGGCAGGGGGGCGGTGCTGAGTGGCTGGACATGAAGCCGGTGGCAGCATGGAGTCGCCGTGACCACTCCGCCCAGCTCTGGGGGGCCCTCCAAAGCACGAGGCCTGAAGTGGTTGCCCTAAATCGTCCCAGCCTGGGACTGCCCTGGGCACAGCTGTCCCAAAGGCTGTTGATAAGAGGTGGAGTTAATAATTCTGGTTCTGTCTCCCTTTCCAGAATTTGCTTGGGTGTCTTTGCAGTATGCCTAGCAAGAAGGTGGTATGCTAAGAGACTGTACATTGGGGTGGGGAGATTGGAGGGTTGTGGAACTGCATATGGGAAAGCAACCAGAATTGGGAGAGATTGAGCTGTGCAGTGCTGGATTTGGGCTGTGGATGGAGGTATGCAGTAGGTGGAGGGGCAGCTTTGGGCAGAAACAGGACCTGGTATGGATGGCTTAATGCAGTGCCCAAGCACTGAATTCCATACCTGTGCCATACTAAGTAAAATCAGTTTAAACTAAACTTTCATAAATGGTCAGATTGCATTTCTCCTTCCTGGGTGCCTGACTTTACACACTAGAGTCTGATTTTCAAAATTGCTAAGGACAAACAACTGCAACCAAAATTATGGCAGCTGTGTCTTGAACATGTAAAATGCTGTGTGCTGCTAAACAATTGAAAACCCAGTTCCTAGGCATCACAATTTGTGGTCAAAGTTCATGGATACTTCTGGTATTAATTGTGCTGTACCTCTGTTCCCCAGCTATAAAAGGGGTAGATAATATTACCCCTTCCTCTCTTAGAGGTATGCACATTCATTAATATTTGTGGCACACTCAAATATTACAATGATAAATGCTGTAGGAAAGCCCATGAGGAAATTAACAATTCTGTCTTCAGAACAAGGTTGCAATGTGTAATGAATAAGAAATAAAGATATCCATTGAACAATGGGGACAAAATAGAATATTGAACAGCATCACCTTAAGAGTGCACTGTTCACTGTGCACTGGGTGAAACAGGGGTCCTGTGAGACAAATTGTGTGGCATTATCTAAAGACTGTCTCTTAAAGCATAAGCACACAGGGCCTGAATTAAGGTTGCATAAGCAATTTAGGTGTGTCTTTTTCTAACTTTTGAGTTCTTGGCTTTCCAACTCCCTAAAAATTTCCTTTAAACCTCGATTTTTTTGTGTGAAAATTGTGTGTGCGCGTGTGTGCATGGGTAAAGATATAAAGAATATACTGAAAACCATAATGAGGGCATTGCTGAATTACCTTGGTAATCTTTGGTTTTGTTTGTTGATTTTTTTTTTAATTGCTTTCTGTTAAAGTCTTCCCACAGAGCAGTATTGCTTGGGACTCCCAGCCGTTTATAGTCTCTCTAAGTACCCTCTGAAGCCATCCCAGGCTTAGCTTCTAGAGAGCTACTGCAGATTGGAATCTGCTTCATTTCCCATGTGAGCTCCTTTTCTGTGCATGTTTTAAGGGAAAAGAGAAGCTTGAAATAAGGTTACCCATGCATGAGGATACCTTTACCCATCTCTCCTTGTCTTTGCATTTTAAAATACTGATCTCCAAAAGAACACAAAGTTCAAGAAATAAACTGCCTCTCTATTTTGGTGCTAGTCCTCAGATTTGGCCCAGATTCAAAAAAAGGATCTAAGCCAGGGGTGGCAATGTTTTTCTGGCAGTGGGCCAAGTCCAAAGCGAGCCCACACTAGGACCTTACCACTACCAGAGCTTCTCTGTTCTGCCTGGCTCTGGCATGGTACAGTAAAGTTGTACGCTGCATTGTACACAGAAGTTTAGTTACCAGGGCTCTGAAATCCAGCACCATAGCTAATTGCTTAGATGAGGGGTCAGCAACTTATGGCCCACTGGCCAGATCTAGACCCACTGGATCCAGCTTGATGCACGTGAAGCCCCCTGCCACCAAATGCTGCTGTATGCCCCAAGCTGGAATAGGCATAGGCACCTCAGAGCAGGATCTGCAAAATCAGCCAACAAGGAAAGTTTGCGTTTAGACTTACGGGGTAGGCACCTACCTTAGCTTTGCTAGGATGTGCATCTCTCTGCTCAAGATTTTAAGTCTGGAAATTCTCCTGAAGGTCTCCCATGGCCCCTTTATTTCAAAAACAGGAAGAGGAGAAGAAATAGAAAATTACGGTGACTGTGAGCTGTTCTAGGGAAGCCCCGAAGGAGAAAGAGCTGGGAGGGGCACCAAAGTAAGCATGCCTGTCCTGTTTGACAGGTAAGGGACTAATTTAGGAAGTA